CACCATCTTTTCTGAAAATTAATCGCCGTTGCCCTACGAGACATTACAAAAATAGCACGATCAAATGCACCATGAATTACATTACACAATCGTATAACATCCGACCTATTCTGTAAAATAGATACCCTATTCTTATTTAAATATGACAAAACTATATTAGAAAACATATCCCAATTAACATTCTTTTTTGTAAAGAGAAAACTGCTCTCATCCATCTTAAAAGACATCCCAAAATCTACTATGTAAGATATCATCGCATGATCTGATACCGTATAATCATGACTAACAATGCACTCACCAACCATTCCTTGCAATAAAGGAGAATATGCCACCACATCCACAAAAGAAGACCCTGTAGATGAACAAAATGTCGGGATCTCAGTCTGATCATTTAATACAGTAAATCCCCACTGACCTAAGACTTCCATCAAACGCTCTCCACGACTATCTAATATGGGACTTCCCCATAATGGGGACTTTGAATTTGCATCTACTCCTAATAAAACTCGACACCCAGATAAAGCCATCAATACTCTATTTAATTCTGCTATAGACTCCAAAATATCTCCGCTAGGGGAAAAATACATACTGATCAAATAAATACTTAACTCCTCCCTAGTAAATTGGGCCACAACACAATTACTCGAGGAGTACTGCAAAAGATGCATCACTGACCACAAATCATTGCAAACTACTATAGCTGCCCATGGTGTTTTATCAAAACTTTGGACAACCCTGATTCTATGTCCCAAACCCCTAACTTTCCCTCGAAAAACATACGGTTCCTGGACCAACAATACATCAGGTTTCTGATTATCAATGTATAAGGCTATCTCATCAGGAACTAACTTACTTCGCTGCAAATTAATTTGCGCTATCTTTAAAATTAAATTTCCTCGACTAACCATAATCAATTCCTAATTTATATCGGCTAATTGCAACTTGATAAGAATAACAGCCTCTATCTTTCGAAAAATGATCACTACGCCTCCCCAACCTTTCACACGGTATACACTTTTGAACTCTTTCAGAAACCTCACAATCCTTTGACCGATGACCAACCACCCCACATTTATAACACACATCTTTTTCTTGACGGCAATTTCGAGCAATATGCCCAAACAATTGACACCGAAAACACTTCGACACTTCATAATAATCACGAACATTGCAACATCTATAATCAAGATATAACCTAGACAATTGCAATAACTTCATTCGCAGAGAAGGTGCTACCTCGACTACCCAATTTACTAATAGTTCTCTCTTGCGTCCAGTACGATACAACGGCTTAAAATCTCTAGTAAAATCTTCTAAATTACCTTCATGATCACCATAAATTAAATCTGAGTTTAAACCATACAAAAGTTTAACTAATTCCTCCCCTTGCAATTCACGCGAAACATCTACAATAACCATCCGTGGTTTTCTCTTCACAGGTAGTGCTACATTTAAACCTAGTTCCTGTATTAATTCATGTATCATTAATCTATCTCTATCCTTCTTAGTAGCAAGCGTTACCGCTATTCCACCATTTCTTATCTTCCGCACATTTTGAAACCGAATTAAATCTCTATTCGGGTCTATACAGCCCATAAACTTCCGTCTAATAGCCTCGCTATCTTCCTCTCTATTCCCTTTCACTATAACAACATTATCTGTAACCTCCCTAGACACTTCCTCACCACCCACTACAACCTCTGCATATGATGGTGCAACAACCATTGGTGTACCTGGCCTATTCATACTCTCTAAAACACTTAATTTGCCTATCAGTCTTTCATTTTCAGTAACCAAATTACGCACTAAACCTATCACTTCACTATACATATCTATAAGAATACCCGAATATAACTTAGACAACTTACTATCTTTATGGTTACATGCTCTTCTAAACTCCATCTGTAGTTTATCTGCTTCGCGCAAATAACCCACTGAATCATACTCCTGAATTGACCTATCCGTTCCTAAACTTTGCCTAACAACACTCACAGGTGATTCATCTTGAGGGACAGGAACCCCTCCCCTTACCCCCCGCACGTTTAATCGTTTTTCTTTTTTCTGACTATCCATATTTAATGTAAGAGGAACCCCTACCCAATCCCCAGACCCAGGTGCTAACCTAATCCCCTCCACCAAGACATGCACCCGACCATGCCCAGGGCCTATGAGAGGACCAAAGGCAGCCCCCGTGGCCTCGGTAGTGGCCCTCGCCCCCTGCCAGAGGGTCCTGTACAGGGCGCCACCCTGCACTCGGACAGGAGGCGGGATTTTTCACCCCCTGATCAGGGCGGCCAGTAGGGATCGGCTAACCCCCCCAGGCCCCTAACTATGGGGCGCCCCAGGTGTGCATCCCCGGTTTTAAAACTGTACCCTCGGGGACTGCCTTCAATCCTCTCTCCCCGAGGTCATGATCCAAGCACATGCCCTAGCTTCAGAGACAGGCCAACACCTGAATCCCCCGCCGCACCATTAGCTTCCCCAGGACAAATACCATTACAGCATTTCCCCTGGGTACTGAGCCCCTCTGCCGCGACAAGGCTGGTACGTACGAGTTGGGGCCATTGCCTGGTTTGGGCACAAGCAATGGACCCCCATTTGAGGAGACTATGCAGAGACATCCCGTCCCAAAGGTCCCGCCACCACCCCTACTGTACCTGCATGAGCGTACCAGTAGGCCCTAAGACTTAATAAAACACCAATNTACAAAATTTACATGATTGGTAACAGTCAAACCCGCTCCCAAGTAAACCCCAAGATAACGGGTAGACCGTACCATCCTAAGGGAAGAGCCTAATAATCTTACGCTAGGGGGGCGATCCGGGTCAAGAGAACCTCTCAATAACAGCATCACTGTCTTATTTGGTGCAAACTGTAACTTTAACAATTCTAATTTCAAAACCAAGGCGTCCAAAAGCCTTTGCGAAATCCTCTCGAGCTCTGCCCTGCTATTCCCATCAACAACCAACACAAGGTCATCGGCATAAGCAACAAACCTACAACCAATATTTCTCAAAAAAATAAGTATATCATTAAATACATACAACCAAAATTCCGGTCCTAAGACAGATCCCTGAGGACAACCTTTATTAACATTAAGTGCAACCTCGGACAAACCCTCGACATACTTCACCTGTCTATATGCTAAATAATCAAAAACTAATTTATATAAATTAAACGGACAATTATACCTAGATAAAACATCTAGAATACTTGGCCACCAGATATTATCAAATGCCCCCATTATATCTAAAAAGATAGCTAAAACATACTTTTTATTTGATTCGTTTACAAAAACCTTAACTTGTCGCATAGCGTCAGATGTTGAACGCCCCTTACGAAAACCAAATTGCCAATGATCCAATTTTGACTCCATTATCATACGTAACCTATTTCTCATAAGCCTTTCTAATAACTTTCCAATTTCCGATAACAAACAAATCGGACGATAAGATTTAGGATTACTCCTATCTCGTTTTTCATCCTTTAATAATACAATTAATTTTCCAATTTTCCATTGACGTGGGAATACTCCAAATTTTAAACATGCATTATAGCAACGTAACAATTCTAACCCAATAACTGGATAAGCCTGTTTCAAAACTTGATTAGTCACACCATCTAAACCAGGGGCCTTTCGTCCCTTTAATTGACGTATTTCCCTTGTCAATTCTTGCAATGTAAAAGGTAAACTAAGATCACTTGTAAAATAACGAGCAATCCTATCCCTTATCTCACATTGATCAACAGAATCTCCATTAATCTCATCCTTAGGAAACATTTCATTCATTAATCCTTTTAACGAAGACTCCCAATCAATTAATAATCGACCCTGGACCCTTACAGAGTGCAGATGTTCCTTAACCCGAACCTTTTGCATTATCAGCTTATACGGCAGACCCCAAATATTTCGAATCATCTGAGTTTTAACAAAATTTCTCCAACTACATTTTTTTGCACTCTTAACTAATCTTTTATACTTTTTTGACTGTTCACGATAAATAATCAAATATTCTTGCTTTAAAATTAAATCAGCAGTACGTTGATACTTTTTCCTAATAGCATGAACTTTTTGTTTTAATTCCTCTAATTCATCTGTCCACCAACTTGGGACATTCTTTTTTAAAACTCTATTTAATCTAACTGCCTTATAACCGCTAATCAAAATCTTAACAATATCCACACTTAATTGTACTACATCTCTCTTATTATACAACACTCGCAAACAATCAACACTCAAACGTCATCGTATAATCTGCCTAAATTTATGCCAATTTATTTTCTTATTATCTACTATTAATACTTCAGTATCCCTAAAGCATACATCCAAAAGCAATGTATATGCAATTAACGCATGATCACAGGACGTATATTCATATGTTACCTCAAGATCACATATCCTATCTTTTAAATCAGTCGTAACTAAAACTAAATCAATAAACGAAGAACCTCGAGAGGACGAAAAAGTAGGGACGGAATTGCACGAATTAACAATATGTAAATTCCACAATAATAAAACTGGTATTAATTTTTCTCCACGTTCATCTATTCGATCACTTCCCCATAAGGGCGCCTTAGCATTCGAATCAAGACCGATAATGATGCTGTTACCTCTTAAAACAGTTAAAACACGTTCTAATTCTAATATAGAATCATCAATTAAAATACTAGGTGGAAAATATAAACTACATATATAAAAACTCTTTTCCTTACAAAATACCTGTGCAACTACACAGGTAGCCGAGGAAAATTCATCAATAATTAAAATATTCCACATACGATTACAAACAACAATTGCTGTCAAGGGCTTGCCAACCAAGCCCTGAACAACACTATAATTAAAACCAAATCCTACCACTTTATCTTTTACCACATAAGGTTCCTGCAACAGCATCACATCGACCCTGAATTTATCCATATAATTCCGCAACTCCGCCGGAACCACCCTCATCCTCTCCATATTTAATTGAACAATTCTAAAATTTTTATCTTGAAGAAAACTATCCATAATCTACCGTTTGCTGATACCGTAACAACGCCTGCTTATAAGAAACACATTCCCTACTTCTGGATACATGCTTAAAGGGCCTACCCATCTTTTTACATGGAACACAAGCCACTACTGTCTCCACTGATACACAATCTCTTGCTCTATGTCCTTCCTCAGTACATTTAAAACAAACTTCTTTTTCCTGACGACAAAATCTAGCAAAATGCCCAAATAACTGACACTTATAACACTTTAATACCTCATTATAATCTTTAACAATACAACTCCTATATTCTATATACAACCTACCTAATAAAAGTAGCTTCCTTCGCAATTCCGGAGATACTTCCACGACCCAATTAACTAATATATCTCGCTTTTTTCCTACTTTATATAATAATTTAAATTCTGACTTAAACATATCTAAATCTGAATCCAATTGATAAAAAAGATCTCTATTTAAATCATATATTAAAGAAACTAAGTCGTCAGATTCCAGTATCTTAGGAACATCTATAAGTATCAGCCGCGGTTTTCGCTTCCTAGGAACTCTAACATCCAAACCAGCCTGTTTTAACTTCTCACTTGCACATACTCTATCCCTATCACTATTCGTTGCTAAAGCAACCAACAAGGAATTATTACGTGTCTTTCGTACACTCTTCAACCTAATCTTTTCTTGTATAGGATCTATAGAAGACAAAAATTTTTTCTTTATAATATCAACATTTTCAGTAGCTAATCCTTTCACTATCACTACTTTATCTTCTTCCTGCATAGGCTGTCGAACATTAATTCTACTTGCTATTTCCGAATATGACTTTGTTACTACAGGTTTAGACCTCACAGATTCCAACATTTCTATTCTACCTTTTAATTGCTCATTTTCTATTACTAGAGTATGTACCACATTCGTAACTTCACTAAAAAGTTCCACTAATTTTTGGGTCAAATTAACCGTAATCTTCTTATCTGAACATAACTTTTGCAATTCAGCTGAAGCTCTCTCTACACTCTGCAAGTGGTCCAAGGTACTAATACTAGTAGAGCTCACCTCACCTAATGACACCTCACTCTTACTATACCTACGAATAGGTATCTGGGAGCCAGGAACCTCCCCCCTTCCCTCCGGCACTTGTAAACTTTTCTTTAATTTTTTACTTTCCATTGGGGTTGGCACTGGGGTTGCGTTACCGTAATCTTCTTATGGTAGATAGGGACATTTTTTTTCATTTTTTTCATTTACTAAGTATCTTTATTTTTACAACCCTCAGTTCCGCTAGGCACCACTGAGGTAGTTTACATATTTACATAATTTTACAGTTTTACATTGGTTTCAGAAGTTACATTAAGTATAAATATAAACAAAACAATTTGAAAAAGAGTAAATACACATCAACAAATGCCGTCACAATGTACCTTAGTGACTAACAATATAATGAACAGTGCTTGTGTTCCAATGTAATAGAAATTCCATTGCTAGTAGAATTATTTAATTGACACTAGTTCTTTTAAAATACGTGTTTACCAGATCAATGAATGCTTGAAGAGGTTCTTTGATTTTCATGATCTTGTATAGGTCCTGAGGCCAGTTTGCCTCAGTTGGTAGCAGNTGCTTTGCCACATGCCCAAATTTTTGGCATTTGTAACATAGGGTTACCTCATGGTAATCCCTGACCACACAACTTCTATATCCTATATAAATTCTACCACCTTGTAATAATCTTACTCTTAGACTGGGCGCTACTTCCGCTACCCAATCAGTAAGGCCTTCTCTTTTACGGCCAGTACGGTACACCAATCTAAAATCAGATTTAAATTTATCAATAGACACCTCCTCACCATAGAGCGTGTCACTATTAAGATCAACAATGTGATCTATAACCTCGTCCATAGACAAACCCTTAGGAACGTCTTTAATTACTAACCTTGGCCGACGCTTAGTCGGTTGCTCAACAATTAACTCACCTTCCATTATATTTTTATTACTTAAAACCTTATCAAGGTCACACTTATTGGCTAGTGTAACCACAATACCATTAGTACGCATCTTTCTTATACTACCAATACGTACCTTATCTTTCCTTGGATTTATATTTTTCAAAAAATTTTCTTTTATAACTTCACTACTCATATCGTTTTTCTTACCTTTCACCAAAAGCACTGCTTCTTCTTTACCTCTATAACTGTTTTTAATTTGTTCCTGGACCTTACCTGTTAAAGGAACATTAGCCTTAGTCACTTGAGAATAGCTAGGCTTATCTCTAAATTCTTTTTCAAGCTCACATTTAACCCTTTTAACCGTTCTTACCTGTGCTTTAAGCACCTCTCTCTCAGTAACAAGTACCTGCACAATTTGTTGTGCTTCAGACATAAATTCCATAATTTTACTAGCCAATATTTGACTAATCCTACTACCTTTTTCATAACACATTTTATTAACCTCAAGCATCANTCTTTTTCAAGCTCACATTTAACCTCTTTAACCGTTCTTACCTGTGCTTTAAGCACCTCTCTCTCAGTAACAAGTACCTGCACAATTTGTTGTGCTTCAGACATAAATTCCATAATTTTACTAGCCAATATTTGACTAATCCTACTACCTTTTTCATAACACATTTTATTAACCTCAAGCATCATTTGATGCATTTTTTCATTATAATCAAATATCTTACCGGATAATCTCTTACCTTCAATATCTATACACTCAATGACCGAGTCCGAAGATCTGCGGCCTGACAACCTTCCTCCGTCTCCTCCTGTCACCACCCTGGGAATTTTAGTTTTAATTGATGAATCCATGCTTAAGGATGTACTGGGGGGTGAAAACCGGTCACCCATGGCGTAGCCCCCCTGCACCATGGGAAGGCAAACATACAACGGGGATTCGCCAGGTCACCCGAGGGGATCGTTAGTGACACCAAGATTTATCCATCGCCTAGGTGCCATCCAGCCCTCAGCACGATACCTCCCACCTTAGCTTAAGCGACCGCCGCTGTACCCTTAGCTTCCCATGATATCTCAGGAGGCATGAGCTTTGGCCATACCCCCTGTGATACCAAGGTACTAAGCCCCCCCGCCACGACTAGGCAGGTACAGTCGACGAGTAGATAGGGACATCCCGTCCCAAAGGTCCCACCACCACCCCTACTGTACCTGCGTGAGCGTACCAGTAGGCCCTGAGACTTAATAAAACACCAATCCACTATCTACCAGACCTATGCACCATACCCATAAGGTCAACCAGTAGAATTTTTTATTGGCATGGTATGGTCATGCCAACACCATGTATGCACCATACACCCAGTGCCTTCCCCGAGCAGGAGGGGAAACCAAATACCTATAATCAAAAAATAAAAATAACATAAGTAAAAGTAATATATAATAAATATACCCAAAGAATAAAAACAAATAATAATATAAAACATAAAAACAATATAAAATAAAACAATATAACCTATACCATAACCGGTGCGCCCAGACAACCAAAAATACTAATTACCAATAGTAAAACAAAATATATAACCATATAAATATATACAACCCATATATGTAAACCATATATACATAAATAAATACCATATAAAAAAAAATGCACCATACCCAACAATAAAATATAAATAAATAAATATACCCCCCAAAAACTAAAATAGGCCTAGCAGAACCCTTAATACCATTAAACACAAGTTTAATAATACAAGGGACCAAACAGCTAAAAATATACAATACATCCATAAAACCAAATATAATAATATAATACACCATAAAAAATAAATAAACCAATAAATATAAAACCAATCTAAACACCAACCCTTAAAACCATACACTTCTTAAACATATTAAATAAAATATTATATGCACCATTATAATTATACTTATTCTTCACCAAATTGGTGCAGACCACATTAAAATCAATATCATCAGAGGAGTTAATATTTAGTAAACCCATAAGCTCCCCAATATCATAATAAAAAATCCTGCAATCAACCATAAAATGGCGAAGGGTGTCGACAGCACCGCATTCACAACACTCATCATTGACTAGGTGGAACGACCTTAACTTACTCCTAAAATCACCATGTCCACTTAGGAACTGAGTCGACCAATAATTTGGCTCAACCCAATTAGCCAATAACCTCTTACCAATATTAGGGAAATACCCGTAGGTTATTCTCCCTTTCTCAGACCTGTTCCATCGGTCTTGCCAAATGTCATAACACACCTGTAACACCTTATTTTTAACCAAAGTAATACTAGATGCAGTGCCGTCGTACACCACATCGCCAAAATTAAAAACCATGCGCTTATTAATTAGGGTACAATAATATCTATACTCTATCTCTAAATCAATAGGTAAAACACAACCAATAACCTGAAGTGCCATAGTAGACACAGTATTATACCCTTTAGTTAAAACCAATAAGACACTCCTTTGGGCCCTTTCTAACTTAACTTTATGATACCCTTTGAGGAGGTCCCACCATGCTAAAACACCATACAATAAAGAGCCTAAAAATAAACCCTTATATAAAACCATAAGAGTCGAGTAGCTGGAGCCCCATTCCTTCCTTATACTATGCTTTAAAATACCAAATACCTTTATGCACTTATCAGTGATAGACGTGACATGTAGCGTAATACTCATATTAGCCCCAATATGTATACCAAGATACTTAACCGAGTCAGCAACCTTAATTATATTATTACCAAGCTTGACCCTTGGCGGCCGATCCTTGCACATAATACCTTTCAGTAAAATCGCCACCGTCTTATCAACCGACAGCTCTAGCTTATTAGCCAATAACCAATTATTTAACAATATAACCCATTTATTACCATGAGACTCCAGCTCTCTCCTCGAATTACCAGATATTATTAAAACCAAATCATCAGCATAAGCAATATAATTGACACCATAACTATTAAAAATCCTTAGGACACCATCAAAAACCAAATTCCAGAGGACAGGTCCCAAGACCGACCCCTGAGGACATCCCCTATTTACCTTCTTTACCACCTTTAGGATGGCTTCCTTGTAAACTACCTCTCTTCTTGACAGATAGTCCTTTAATAACCTATATAAATCATTAGGACACTGCCTATACCTTAATTCACTCATAATCGAGGGCCACCATAGGTGATCAAAAGCACCTTTAATATCAAAAAATATACCTAATACGTACTTGCTACAAGACTTATCAACCAGCTCTCTAAGGCGCATCAGCGCATCATCAGTTGAATAACCCTTTTTAAAACCATACTGATAATCATTATTATAACCCTTGATAACAGACTCAAGTCTGTACTTAACAATACGTTCCATCACCTTACCCAATAAAGGGATTAAACAAATAGGCCTATATGACCTTGGATTAGTCTTATCTCTATTACCACCTTTATAAATAATAACAACCTTCCCCTGTTTCCAACAATTAGGAAAGACACCATACACCAAACATGCCTGATACAGGAGCCTCAAGTGAGGCTTTAAAATACCATAACCTTCTTTGAGAACCTCGTAAGTAATACCATCGGCCCCAGGAGCTTTCCTTCCCTAGGAGGCCTTTGTGGCTATGTCAACATCATTATTACCAATATCATCGACATGCCCACTACCATTATACTCATCCATCATCTCTCTAAGTACACTATGTGCACTATCATCCTCCTGCTCGTTATCATTGGGAAACAGGGAACCCAATAAGAAATTAACCACATCCAACCAGTCATAAAGCTCACTATTACCACTTTTCATATTAACCAATACCTGATTAGTCTTGAGCTTATTCATTAAAACCTTATAAGGGGTGCCCCAGGGGTCACCTTTAGTTTTAGCACACACATACCTTTTCCAGCTTTCCTCTCTAATGGCTTTTAGCCTGACCTTATAGGCCTTTCTCTTATTTATATATACCTCTTTTAAAATATTACGTGTATCAGTATCAAAACACCTCTGAAATGCCCTCCTACTCTTATTAACCTGCCTTCTTAGGCTATCCAACTCATTACACCACCACCTAGGAGCCCTGTGCTTCCGCATTACCTTAGGGATAGCACACACCATAGNTTCCTTCTTTAACGATTTCACTATATAGGGGTTTTGGCTCCACTCCGCCAATCATATTCCCAATTACCCTACATGTTTCCTTTATTTCTGTCAACTCATCT